CTGGGTAGGATGAATAGAGGGGAGACCCACCTTCTGGGGAAGGCGGGGACATTGGTGTTCTTGCTCCCGCAGAGGTGGGTGGGATTTCCGAGCTGACGGAAGCCTGTGACTGGTGGAGCTTTGGGTCTCTGCTGTATGAACTGCTGACTGGAACGGTGAGTGGCGGGGCAGGGTGTGGGCCCTTGTGGGGGTCACTGGGGACAGGGTGGCCTGGGCTTGATACAACCAGCCCACGTCGGGCTCAGGCTGCCTGGTGCTCCTCCCCAGCTCACCCCCACAGGCCATGAGAGACGCAGGGAGCCACTGCCACCCAGGCCGTGGGCACACTTGGTCCCCCCTCCCCCATGCTAGTGGCTGTAGCTGGTGAGACTGCCAGTGTAGTGGGTGAGAGCTGAGTTGGGTGGTCAGGGCGGGTTTTGGAGGAAGGGTGGGGATTGGACAGCGCTTATTCCCCGAAAGGCGCCTGGCTCACCCCTCAGCCACTTCCCCCTGCTCACTTCCCACCCCGACGGCCTCCTGGGCTGTAACCCCCAGACTTTGGCTGAAGAACAGGAGAGAGGGCCTCCTGGATGCAGGCCAGCCGCTGTCCGTCCAGCCTGGGTCAGCCAAGAGCTCCAAGTTTCCCCGGCAAACGCCCTTGCTCAGGATGGCGGCTTCTGCCCTCTGTCCACCCGATGAGCTCAGCTCTGCACCTGGGTAGCGGATGCAGTGTGACCTGGAGCCCAGGTCGGACCAGTTCACCGTGGCTGCCTCCTGCCTTTGTCCCGGAGCCCAGAGCCTCTGAGAGGCCTGGCTGCAAACAGCCACTCTCCCCTCTCAGCCTCCCACCACCTCTCTCGCCTGAGCTTCTGGCCTCCCTCCTGGTCGCTTCTTGCAGCTCATCCTGACCTCCAGACAGACCTCCTTGCTCTCCACAGCTGCACCCTGCTGGAGAGGCCCTGCCTTCCCTCACCACAGCCCTGCCTTGGCGCGGCCGGAGCACGCCGTGGCCTGCTGCCAAATGAGTGGCCCGTGGAGGGTTGTGTTGTTGTTTTTCTGTATGAAGACAAGTTCCAATACTCATCCTGAAGTGCCTGTCCTGATTGCAGCCCGAGAGCAATGCATCGAGCGAGCTTAGAGCCAGACGGACCTGGGTTCAAATCCTACCCTCAGCATCAATCCCTTCACCTCTCAGCCTGCTTGTGTCTCTCCAAAGCGATACTTGTATTTCCTCTGAGAGGGGCCGTGGGAGTGTGGACAATGGCTGTCAGGCATCTAGCGCCGCCTGGCATACAGTAGATCCAAAGCAGATCCAATGGTCTGCATTATCATCATCCCAGGGAATGTGACCCAGGGAAAAAAATAAAACCCTGGCTGCCGCTGGGGTGTGCAGACTTTCCAGGGGTTGCCTCCTGAGGCCCCTCCCTGTGTCTTCCCAGGCCCTATCCCAGAGCCACCCCTCAGGAATCCAGCCCCACACCCAGCTCCAGCTGCCTGAGTGGCTCAGTCGCCCAGCAGCCTCCCTGCTGACGGAGGTGAGGTCAGCGGGCCCAGCAGAGGCGGCTCCTTGGCCTGAGGGTGGGCGCTGGGAGGGCAGAACCCTGTGCGTGAACAAGCATGCTGCTCCTGGAGGCTGATGTGGGTGCAGGAGTTACAAAGTTCTCTAGATGTTGGCGGCCAAACACCACCAGTGTGTTCCCCAGGGTAAAACTGGGGGTTCTATGGGCTGGGCTGGCAGGGAGTGAGCTCCCGGGGCCAGGGCGACAAGTCCCTGGAAGTCCGCCCACATCTCAGCCATGGGGCTGGGAAGGCCTGCCAGGCGCTGACCCGGCCTTTCTCCACAGCTACTGCAGTTCGATGCCAGCAGGCGCCTGGGAGCTGGAGGGGGCGGTGTCAACAGACTCAAGTCCCACCCCTTTTTCAGTACCATCCAGTGGAGCAAGCTGGTGGGGTAAGAGAGGGTGGAGCGGGCGATGGAAGCAGCCGGACTGGTCTGCGTCTCCTCTCTTCTCTTCGCCTGTCATCCTGTCACTCTGAACTGACCCTCATCCTGTCACTCTAACCAGCGGCCTCTGCAAAGAATGCGGGTCAGCTGCCTTTCCTGCTGGGCTCTGCTCCCTCCTGTGGGCTCAAAAGCCATCATCGCCGCTGTCCCTAGGAGGTCTCCCCGCCAGCCCTTGGAGGAACCCTTTCTAGTCACTGCGTTTGGGAAGGGACAGGACAGAGCTCACCCTGCTAGGTGGCTTGGGCCCCTCCATCCACCCATCAGTCAACAGAGACCTGTTGAGCGCACACCCTGAGCCTTGAACACAGACCTACCCCGTTAAAGGGTGCCTTCTGTCACATTCGCTCCAAGTACTGACCACCTGCTGAGCCAACCTTGAGGTTTTGTGATTCGCTACCTGCCATGTTGTGCCCTACACGGGACATCTCTGGAGACTTATCTCAGGATACTGGTCCACTGGCTTCGTGGACTCAAATTAGGGCTGCCCTGGCTGATACCTTAGCCGTGTAAATAGTGGCCTCTTCTGTCAGACTCCTCCTGCAGGGGGTGGGGAGGCAGGGAAGACGTCTGTAGTGAGCATGCAGTGAGGTGGGAAACAGGGTGATCCACTCCCCCTCCTGAGCATGCCCTGTCTTGCAATTTCAGACTCTGAAGAGCAAAAGGAAGAGGGGCATGGGGGAGGAAACAGGGATTAGGAGGAGGGCAGAGGGCACCTTTGCCAATTAGAGCAATTTTAGAAGCAGAATAAGACCTCCCCTCCCTAGCTAGCCCACTGGGGTGGAAAGGGGAGCGAGCCTGCCCCACAGGTCTGAGAGACCTCAGTTCAGCCTCCAGGCGGAAGCTGCTAAGACAAGCTGGACCCACTAGGATTCCCTTCTCAGGCATTGGTCCTGTTTACCAATTTGCATTTTAGTCTTGAGGGTCCACTCAATTCATTGCCTACTGTGACTTCATCCCCTTTTGAAATGAATCACAACACACAGAATGATTGCCCAGGCTTTTAGCCGGAAGCAAGATGTTTGGTCTCTGAAGAACTGGGATAAGTAGTTACCCCAAATACAATCCCCTCCTCGGGTTTGGGGGCTTTTTCCGCTCAGGACTCACCCTGTCACTGGGGTGTGGCAACTGAAACTGTCACCAGACCTCTGCCCCCAACCCCTTGCCTTGTGTCTGCTATACCACCAGGTGGCGGCCTTGACACTCATCTCCATTCTGATTGTGAAGGGGCGGGGAACTGGGTTGTGAGGGAGGCTGGAGGTCCTGGTTTCTCTGGGGCATGTCCATACCATCTTGCCCCCAATAAAGCCTGATGTTGCCTGTGGTGTTCTTGCCTCATTAATGCAACGAGAGCCACCCTGTCGGGACAGGAAGACTGGAAGACTCCCCCAAAGAAGCTCCATGACAGTCAACAGTGAACTTGGAGTCCACTAGGAAGTAGGAAGCAGGGCTGGTTGTAGACCCACCCGCATGCCAGCCTGTGCCCTGCAGAGCAGCACTGAGCCCAAGGGGAAGTGCTGGCATAGAGGGGCACTGGGCTCCATGGGAAATAAAAGACAAACCTTAGAAGAGGGTCATGATGCCTGGGGGAGGGGGGGGGAATAGTATAATCTTCAGTGACCCCTTGAGACACAGTGGCTCCTACTCAGAGGTTAATGACGCCCTAGCTGGTTTGGCGCAGTGGATAGAGCGTCGGCTTGCAGACTGAAGGTTCCTGAGTTCAATTCGTCAAGGGCACATGCCTGGGTTGCAGGCTTGATCCCCAGTAGGGGGTGTGCAAGAGGCAGCCCATCAATGATTTTCATCATCACTGATGTTTCTCTCTCCCTCCCTCCCTGACACACACACACGAGGTTAATGACAAGGTCTGATGGGAGCCTAGTGGAGCTTGTCCAGTCTTCCTTGGCTATACTCCCTAAGTCAGGCCAGACCACCTCCAACCACTGCTGCAAGTCCAATTTGCTTCTGGAACCTCTGGGCCCCATCTGTGCAATAAACAATGCACATGTGGCACTGTGCCAGGCTCTAAGCCAGAATCCTGCAGTCCCAGACCTTACAGGGCTTAGTCTACCTCCTTGTAGGTTTACTAGAGAAATGACAGCTAGCACCAGGTCCTGGGCCTAATAGAAAATTCTAAAATTCCTTTCATTGAACCCAAATTCTACCCTCAGGGAGCCACTCTGTTCCTGGGGCAGACCTTCATACAGAGATGGCACCACTGTAAGCAAGATCAGCAGGCACGGACTGTGTGGAAAGACCGGGTATATTTAAGCCTGGAGACCATCATGCCAGTCACCTGGAGTCAGTCTAGGTTAACTGTCCCTCTCCCTCGCAGACCACCGCTCCCAGGAGGTAATCGACCCTCATGGTTTTTACTGACCTTGGTATCCATCCCAGAAATAATGCAAGTGTGTTGGTGTTTGCAGGAGCCTCAAAGGTGGGAACCAGTCTCTGCCCAAGAGCCCGGCTTGCCAGGCTTTGAGGGGTCAATGTAAGGAGGGCGGGCGCTTCCCTGCCTGCAGACAGCCCAGTTCCATTTTTTGTCAAATCAGTGCAGTGTTAACTTACTTTAAAACTCAGGTATCACAGGGTAACCAAAGGGACCTTAGGTGGTTTTCAATGCCAATAACCAGTGTGGAGACTTACACAACCTCAGTAACCAAAATGAACACAGAAACGGGAACTCTGCTTGAGAACTTTTGCCCTTTAATTTGCATTTAAAATCGGTTTCTTTAAATATTTCAGTTACGAGTTCTGAATAGTGAAGACATAGCAGATGCTGCAGGCACTCAGTATTGGCTCCCATCCCTTCCCCCCACCCGTCCCCCAGGCCTTACTTCTTCGAGATACAAGTGGGCACTCTGCACTAAGTGGCTCCCATGACAAGTGTCAGCAGCCTCAGGCCTGAATGCAGTTGGATTTAAAGCAATGCAGCCTGGTAGCTTTCATGACAAGACGTGTACATTTAACCATGTTCCAAGGAATTCCAATGACTGTCCAGACCCATCAGGCAGTACCTCAGAGGCGACATCAGTCACTTCCCGTGTACTGGCATCTTGGGGCTGGTTCCCACCAGTCCACCCTGCCCTAGACCCGTGCTCTGCAGAAGAGCCAAGGCCCCACTTCCCAAGGGCCGTGATCAGGAAAGAACAGAATTGCCTCTTCAGTCACATGCTCATACCAATGGAATTTAAAAGCTCAAGTCAATCTGAGCCTGTCCACAGGAAACCTCCCCTGCCCCCCAATCTCTACCAGGCTCCAGTCCATCCTCCACTGCCTTGATGTACTAGAATCGGCTCCAGATGAGAACAATGTGCTAGAACAGTTCCTAGCAGCCTAGAAAGGTTGGCACAACCATAGCTGTGCCAAAATGGGTTTTCCTGGTGGGAGGCTATGACAGAGAATGTGAGGGCAGGCCTGGCTTCTGTTCTCTTGTTTATAGCTATGACCTCAGGGGGAATCTGCCCTCTCCGCCTCCACACTGCCAACACCTCTCCTACCCAGGTCCCCCGGCCTGTGCTTCCTGGAAGAGGTAGTAGAGGCATCCTGAAGTCAATGACAGCTGAGAAGGAAGGTGCATTTAGCAGCAAAGCAGCACCTTGGCCTATGGTCAATACCTCCACACAGGTGGAATCAAGTGAGAATGTGCACAGCCAGGGCAGAGGCTGCTCCGAGCGTGGGAGGCACAACCCTCCCAGGCAGCTCTGGAGAACACACTTTCAAAAGACTGAAACTTATTACCATGGTCCCCAGTGGTTTCCCTATCGTGTCCTGGCACGGGGGAGAAGCAAAATTATCTCGGCAGAGGGTTAATGAAGAAAGGCAGGGATATTAATGAGCATCTGTGAAGGCTCTCTCTTTCTCTCCCTCAAGCCTAAGGAAATAAGATATTCGAGTGTTGAGAGGGGTATAGAGAGAGAGAGAGAGAGCTGGTAGGAACACCAAGAAAGACCTGCGACTGCTGGTTATATAGTGCCCTGGCTTCCTTGCTTGAGGCCAACAGCATGTGCCTGTCTGTCGCCAGGCGAACCCGGGACCCACGTGGGGCAGAGAGAAGACTGGTTTTCAGTTCCTGCGTGGTCAATGTGTTGGGTGTGTGACTTCCTCCTAAAGGTCCATTAGGAGGATTCTGGGATCTTCTACCGCTGCCTTGATTTTTCGGAGGAAAGTCACAGCCTCTCTGCCGTCGATTAGCCGGTGATCGTAGGTCAGTGCCACGAACATCATGGGCCGCACCTCCACCTACAGAGAGAGGAGGGTTATAGATTTGTCTGCAGTAGCAGAAAAGCCCCCTGGAAGTGGGGAAATGAGAAAAGTTCTGTTCCTTTCCTATTGGTGTTGCTCTAGATACAATATTTTCAAAGACCAAGCCTTATCCTTAGCGCACAGCTCCCCTGCTTGCCCCGCTCTGAGACAAAGAGAACAGGAGTCTCCGCACAACTGCCTTTTTAAACACACTTTACTCTTCATTCGTTTTCTAAAGGAAAAGTTCCCCTTTCAGTCTGGCTTTAGGGTTATCAATTTAAACCTGGGGTCCACAAATTCTCTGAAATTGTATGTAAAGTAAGGTGTGTGAGCATTTTTGGGGGGAGTGGGTGGAGGGGAAGATCTATGATTTCAGACTCACAAAGGAGTTAGTGACCCAAGAAAGTTTGAAACGCAGTCCCAGAAAATGTTTTCCTCCTGACATGTCTTTTGGGGCCAGCTCGACCCTGGGTCTTCCTTCTCTGAACCTTCGAGAACCTCTAAGCCTTACCCTATACTTGGAAGCTCGCAGACTGCTCTGCATTATCCTTTTCCCGGGCAAGGATCAGGTCCCCAACTGTGTCCCCACTATCTACAGCACCTAGAGAATGAAGCCGGCTGACTGTCCTAGATGAAGGAGCAAGCTTTCCTAGCTCAACTGTCCTCAAACTTTACTGCACCAGAATCATCTGCAGTTTCTGCTTCAACAAGTCCAAAAGGGGGTCCAAGATTGTGCACTTCTGGTAAGTTCCCAGATGATGCTGATCCACACACCACAATGAGAATCAGTGCCTTAGCTTTAATCAGAAGCCAAGAGATGAAACTTAAGCCTAAAATTACAGTGAATCTCACAATTAGCACTTAGTAAGATTTCCCTCTCATCACCTAACTCCTAGGACATGAACAGTGATGGTTCTTACCTTGCCTCCCACAGCCACTGGCCTATCAAAGATGGCGTGCATGCCTAGGATGGCAGACTGAGGGGGGTTGATAATGGGTGTTCCAAAGAGGGAGCCGAAAACACCTCCATTGCTAATGGTGAAAGTACCACCATCCATATCTTCAATGGCGAGTTCATTCTTCCGGGCCTAAAAACAGAAATTACACCATTGCAATTTAAGGTCAGATGAGCTTTCTTCACCTAAAGGAAGTCCAGAAAGCTCATATCTGAGGTCAACATGGCAAGACCCAGCTGTAACATGAAAGTTGTTCAACTGAGCCCAGCCAGTGTGACTCAGCGGCTGAGCGTAGACCTATGAACCAGGAAGTCATGGTTCAATTCCTGGTTAGGGCATATGCCCAGTTGCAGGCTCTATCCCCAGTGTGGGGCATACAGGAGGCAGCCGATCAACGAGTCTGTCTCTGTCTCTCTCTCTTTCTCTCTCTCTCTCTCTCTTCCTTTCTCTCTCCCTCTCCCTCTTCCTTCCTCTGAAATCAATACAAATATATATTTTTTTTAAAAAGGAAGTTTTCCAGCTGAGATGCTCCACCAAAGGACAGACACAAGGCCTTCAGGTCCTTTTCTGTTCCAGCAGGTTCACTTGATGAGATCTTCAGTCACGAGAGCATGCTAAGCTCTGCCCAATGTCTGCACTTCAGCTCTAGTGGGTGAGAGGCTATGCACTCTTACGGAACAACGTGAGGCTCCAGCTCTCCGAGAATTGCTCACTGGCAAGCCCTGCCTTCCCCGGGCTGCTTCCCTGCCCTGCCCTGCAGCTGAAACACATGCTGCGTTCTACTTTACCTTCTCTCCCAGTTCAAAGATGGTTCGCTCAATATCTGCATAATTCATTGTTTCCACGTTCCTGATGACGGGAACCACCAGGCCCTGATGAAAGTGAAAAGCGTTTTCAGTTGCAAATTAATAGCACCCTGTACAGTTATAACTCCCTGATTCAAGTCAATGGTCTCCCCTTCCCAGAATATCTAATTACTCAATTTGATTAACACAGTCTAAAATATTTAGGCTTAACATTAAAAGAATGTGGTATGTTCAAAAATAGGTTACTCTTTTATTAATCCCCTTCTAAAAAGACAGAATTACAGACATGATCTGTGCCTAGCTGTCTGCTTCTTCACA